GAAGCGTCAGTGAGGGGGTAGCTATATAAAAAAAAAAAAAAAAATAACGAGGATTGCCAAATCGATATACTAAACGGGTTTAACGGAGCAGGAATAATTAGGGTGTTGGCAAAGAGCCCGAGCCGCTAGCTTGGAGAACAGATTCAAAGTGGTCGAAGAGGGGGCTGGCATTTCTGTTTTGGCTATTATACGCGCCACCACCCCGGCCGACGTCGTAGTCTACGTACAGTAACTATTAAATGCTAAATAGGGCGTTTGCCAGCGGTGTAAAATCGCTTGCTCGAAATCAGGGCTGGTTTTAGCTTCGATTCGTTCTGGTGCTTGGAGAATTCCTTTTTTTCCACATTCATACTATAATATTATATAGGATTTTATATGGATTATGAGAACCTTAAAGGATGGTTTTCTTATTTCTTTTTTTTTTAACAAGTATTTTAATATCTCTTTAATTGAATACTTTATTTTAATATTATCTTTCGTAGGAGCAGCCTTTGGCTTTAAGCACAATGCTTCAATTTGTAGCATCGTTATATGACTATATGTATATATGTATACAGTCTGTACTTATATATGTATAGTTGGGTCAAAAGTTTATGTGAATAAGGGGATTGGAATCCACGTTAGAAATTAATTCGTTAAATTACAGATGGAAATAGTGATATTGAAATACTTGGCATATCTGACATATGCATATTGTTATATTGTGCTATATATACCGTGATGTATTTGTATACTCGACCTGTTAAAGTCCGCCCGTATTTTCTACGTGTATATAGAAACTAGTGAAAATTCACCACTTCAATTCCACATACACAAACTAATTTATGAATACAGAGGGGTCGAGTACAATATTATACAAAAGTCGAAGAATCGCTCGTATATACAATCCCCCTTAAAACTACCCTAGAACGTAGCATATGTGATGGTCAAAGAATCAGAATTTATTAATAACATATTTAATTGTGTAATATTTTAATTAATTCGATGCTTTTGTAAATCAGATATATATATATATATATATATATATATATATATATATATATATATATATATATATATATATATATATATATATATATATATATATATATATATATATATATATATATATACACACACATAAATAACGCAACGTTCGTGTAATTATTGCAGAATGTATGTAGCTTCCACCCCCCTGCCCCCTTCGAATTTTCAATAACGTCGGCAAATACATATAGATGACGTCACTTAGCATCATACGTGAAAGAAAAAAGTGCACACGGTGCATACTGTTGTACTGATGATGTGCAAATTAATACTGGAGACTGCAACGCGAAACAGTCCGCAAGTCAAATATACATGTTGTATACGTATATAGCGCGGTGCAATTTGGAGGACGGCGACGAGATTGCGAACGACGCTGGCGTAAAAATTAATCAATTCATCGTAAAGCTGCCGGCTACGTTCCCGCGTGAAAAAAAAAAAAAAAAGAAAAACAAAGGGGGGTTGCAAATATTCATTCACGTGGTGGCCACTATCGATAAATTTACATTCGGTCGGCATTTTCGTGCTTGCTTTTGAAACGAAAAACATCCCCATGAAATATTTAAGGTGCAATCACTCTGTTTTATCGCTCGGTCCTGAAAATCATCGAGATTTTAGCCCGAAAACCTTCGGGTAATTTCGTTTCGAAATTTCGGATCACCGTTACGTTTTACGCGCTCTGTGATCAGAGCGCAGTACAGTGTTACGTATTCGTATGATGAATTATGGATTTTTAGATGGTGTAGGATACATTATTAAGATTATGATGCATTATTAAGTGCACCAAACAACGACTCTCAATACTTTGTGTATATAGGTATACAAGACATGTAATATATAGTATACGAAATCAGTTGATCAGTAAATTTTATATATATGTATATATAGTAATGCTACTATACTAAATACATACACAAATAGATAATATACTATATAGTGATATATTGTAGCTGTTCGTGTAATCGTGGCTGTAATTATTCGCGTGAAGGAAATTGTAAGTGGTGTAGCCAGGCGCGAGAACACGGAACAGAGGTGGACGTAATGTATTTAAAGCAAGGCAGATTAGGGAAACCCGTGGCTTCTCTCTAAGAGATTCAGAAAGCGGGTCGGAGGAGAAAAGTATTTTTAGTGGCGTGTTAGAGAATTTAGGATTCACGTAAGTTAGTGCTATTACCCTTTTCGAATGTTAACGACCCACTGTAAATCAGGATGGGGGAGAAGAAAAAGGATCTTATTGAAGCAATAGACTCCTCTACAGGTTGGCATCACTATTCTTGTGCGGCATCTCATCTTCTTCGGGTACTTGTTATTCCGTAGAGAGAAGAGATAAATGAATTTACATGTTTTATATACGCGGGTATTAATTTTGCGAACCAATTAGGCTTCCAGTGTATTTCTTTAAATTAGTTTCTATACGGGAATTCGTATTGCGATTTCGAGCATAGAATCTTTGAGTTTGCGAGTGCAAACTTTTCCTATAATTTATCAAGTAAAAGCGTCGTGACGAACTTTTGGATTAGTGTGAGTCAGAAAATGAAGGTCGCTGATGAGTAGTGGGTTAAGATCCGAAGGTGGGAACTAACGGAAGAAAGAAAAGGTACGGAAGAGATTGAGCCTTTGATTCTGAGTGGAAATAGACGTAGCTGTAGATTTATTGGAAAAAATTAAAGATGCTGGAAACAGAAAGTGTTATTGGATAAAAAAAGAAATTAAAAAAAAAATCACCTTTAAGACTAATCGTCGTATTGTTCGTTACGCAGTAACTATTTGGAGGGTTAGGCAGTTTTTGAATAGTTTAGAATATTTTTTGGGACACTTTTTACTGTAGAATTTGATAAAAATATTTGTGCGCCTAAAAAAATCTCATGGGAAATGAGTTATTTTTTGAGGGTGGAACCAGTTAATACAGTTTTATATTTGACTGTAATACTTGTTATATAATTAACTTCTTAATGTTCCACTTTGCAGGAGGAACTTCCCAGAAAACGGGGGGGAAGCATAAATTAAATTATCTCATATTTTTCTTCAATTAACGTCTTGGAATTGGATGAAACGCCAAGTAAATGACTTAGCACGTAAAATACTTGAAATAAAACTTTTCCACGTATTTCGTTGGTTCGGTACCGCGATATGAAGCCCTGATGGAAATAATGCAATACTTAATCTCGTCCTTGAAAACTATGAGGTCCTTATCACTTTTCAAATAAATTTACAATATTCGATTCCCATTATCGAATGGTTAGTTATCGATATACATATAAAAAATGTAGACGTCATTGTGACAATGATATATTACGAATTTATTAAAATTGATATCAGAGAATCATGAAAGTGACTATACAAGTGTATATAATATATTGATATATCGATTTAACCTCAATTAACTACTTTATCAGTTATTCCATTGCGGTGGATGGAAAAGTGCGCGCTTAAATGCCTCTATATGGTTTGAATCTATACATATATGTTAATTATACAGTTGCATTTCAACATACATATGGTCACGAGTGATATTCGATAAGAGGAAAAAATACTTAGAAAAAAAGAGAGACAAATACAGTAAGAAAAATTCCAAAGCGAATATTACAAATTTGATGAAAACTAAGAAGCAAGTAACCTGCCCTATTGAGGAATCCATATAATTCACTAAAAAGAACCCCATAAACTAATTATTCTTTGTACCATACTTACAACAGATAAATTTAATGAATGTACATTCCATATGGATTCGCAATCAAGTTGAATATTAAACGATATCGTGAGCCCCCCGAACATCACAATTTCATTACATACAGCTTCCGGTACAATATTTTTTATTTTAACGCATCAGCGATAAAACCGGAATGCATAATAAAAGTGATAAAATTGTTCAGCATGTAAGGCTTCAATCCGTTTGTCATGTTACATAATTCAGTTCGCATGCGCAATTTACTACTAGAATAAACGTATATTGCTTTTGTATATACTGTATTACATATTTTTAATACGACCAACCTCATTTTACATATATCCTTAATTGTATCCCTACGGTATGCCGAACACCCATTTAAGAGCTATCATGTATAAAAATGACATGGTGCCTAATCGTATTTGTGGTTACGAGAATTATTGAACTCAGTATGGGCAACACGTGATTGACATCACGTGGTTCCTTGGGATGACGTTAACGCAGTTAAACCATGCATCCCTATGACGTTCCCTTAAGCTGGTTAACTGACCTGCATTTCAGTGACCACGAAGTTGCATTTGTCACCCGCCGAATTGGTTAACAATAAGGGACCAATTTGACATTGATTGACAGAAGACACTATTGACGAGTCTGACGAGTCATTTGTCGACTAAGTATCGGTATTCGTCGTTCTCGAACGGTGACTAATAGAACACTTGGCAGATAATCAGAAATCATTGGACGATGGGATACGGCGTTAATTGCTATATAGTAGATAGAATGTAAGTTCCGTGCTATAATGCATGAGAATTTTTTGTAGACGTATTATTTACGTATTAACGTATGAGAGAGAGTGAAAGAAAATTTTTTAATATTCTCTTTTCTTTTTTTGAATCGGGGACGGCGGGAGGGGACGATAAATATTCCTTTGCTTTCACCGTGTTTCTCCTCTCTGATGAGATTTATTATATTTTCGCGAGCAAATTGGCTAAGTTTCGATACGCGTATCCATCCCGACGATTCTTTTTCATGGAAGAACAAACGCGTGGACGGGCAAGTTATCATTCTCGGATCTATAAATTGCGTAAGCCCGATATCCGGATTTTCTATCCGTTATGCCAGCGGCAGCAATTCGGACGAAAATATGTTGAGGTACAATGTCGTCCGGTAGACACAAATGAAATTTACTAACGTTTCCACACCCGGTGTCTTTGTTGTAATGGATGGTGGAAAAATTTCGAATTTTTTTTTCTTTTTTTTTTTTTTGATAATCTACTTTTATACATACACTCGATAACGTATTTTTCAGGTGGCCTGGTTACGGGTTAACACACAGACGATTCTTACTATCGCCAGTCACGTTATCACGAAGAATCATCGAATCGGCGTCACTCATAGTGATCACAGAACGTGGTACCTGCACATACGCGATGTTCATGAATCCGATCAAGGGGATTACATGTGTCAGATAAACACGGATCCTATGAAAAGTCAAATTGGTTATTTGGCTGTTGTCGGTATGTGGATTAATTAGCTTTGTTAATATCCCAACGACTATAGGTCGGCCATTGTTAATAATAATTTCAAAAATGAATTTTCGCTATATGTCAATTCAAAAGCAACACCTCAGACTGATATAGCATTCGAACGTGATAATGACCTGTAAAAAAGCACGTGTGCGATTCTGTGAAAATTTCGATAAAAATATATGAGACTGCAGGTATATATAACTTTGGCGATATCTAATGATATATTTTGTTATGTTGGTCACAGTACCGCCGGACATTCTCGACTACCCCACAAGTACGGATATGGTGGTACGCGAGGGCAGTAACGTGACTTTACGTTGCGCTGCTACTGGATCACCCACCCCCAACATTACGTGGAGGCGCGAGGGTGGAGAATTAATACCCCTCGGGAATGGTCAAGAGGGTAAGGAATTTTTTTTTTTTTTTTATCAACATACTATACACTGTTTCTCACGTAATATTTTTATATATTGTTATTATTAATTTAACCTATCTCTCTGTTACGTCATCCTCAAAGAACAGCGCACGTAACATTATAATTTCGAGGAAGCCACAAGCTGACAAAGCAAAGCAGTTAGCATACGCATAGAATTCGATAACCTTGTACAGATTTTTAATATTGTGGCAGGAAAATCTTGGTACACGATATAATCGAAGGTAGGCGAAGTAATTGAATCCTGTTGTTTTCTTCCAGCAGTATTACGTAACGATTATATAGAACACAATACGCTGCGTACAAGAGTAATTATAGTTCGATCATCGATCTATTCTCCCTTAAGAATAATTTGAAGAGATACGAATTTTTCGTGTAATAGAAAACACCTTAGAGATATGATTAATATTGCATAAGCAATAAAACTTTGGCCAAACGATATTCGTCATGAAATAATCAAATGCCTACGCAGGGGGTGTTCGTGGTTTTTAAGTTTAAAAATTAAACTTTCAACTTTCTCAGAACGATCTCGAGGGACATAACATCCGGCCAAAGTTTCTCATCGATCGTCTCGACTGACCGTCTGTATGTTGTACGGAGAGGGATGGTTGAGGGACCCGTAAACGGTGGGAGGTTCCATAAAATTTTTAACAAGTTTCGAAAAGACTAATTTTCACAATTTCGAACGTTTATAATTTCAGCGTAAAAAAAATTAAATGTCGATTCGGCTGCATTACTTCAATTTTTACTTAATCATCATTTATTTTCATTTTTTATAAAATCTTTATCTGCATTATGGATTCTTTGGTAGATATATTATTTTTTTGATTCATTAGTATGTACAGACATTATCTTCTACGTACTGCGTACAAGGGGTGACTTGAAGGAAATGCAGATTTTCGGAAAACTGCCTACGGAGGGTCGTATGATTAAGGTCATCCTGATATAGTCAATTTACTTTGGGTCTCGAATCGATTCGTTTGGCATGCTCATAGGCCGTGCAAACGTTTTTCAACCCCTAACTCGCCCCTAAATTCTTCGTTCTATTTAGCTTCTTCCCCTGCTTTCTCGCTTCCACGTACTTGTTGATCGTCAATCTACTTGGGTCTTTGCCGGATCCTGGAGTATTTCGAAAGGGGGATATAATCCAAGCACCCTTCCCTTTTATATCGATACATAACCCTTCACCCCTCAGGCTATATTAAATTATTTCAACGTCTTGAAAGTGAGCATGGAGTCTATGGGGTTGAATATATTTTGTTGGATATTGAAAATCTTTTCCCTGGTCAATTTTAAATAAAAAAAAACTGTAACGTTACACCTCGTCACATAAATCACTTTACCGGCGGGATAACGGCTAAGGGATGTTTCTTCAAGTTTGATTATCAAAGGCGGACTTCCATTAAAAAAGTTTGCTTTTTTCAAAGTTACGCAATCGATTACATCGTACAGAAATTGCGTTTCTAGGAACTATTGAAAAAGTTCCTCTTTCATTTACGCACTCGATCGGAAATGGATTTACAGGGCTGCCAGTCCATATTCACACCTCGATACCAAATCCGTAGCGGTTAATCTTAATGACCTTGAATTCACCAGAGATTACCTCTCTGGCCCGTAACAACTAATTTAATTAACTGCAACGTCACCTGCATTATCCAGTCCATTTTAATATAGCAACCAATTAGCTAATAGCCAAAATTTTAGTTTTCGCGAACCTTTGATCCCCGTGGCTACCCCCGAAAAATTGGCGGTTTCCGGGAAGCAGTAACAGAAATTGCCCTGCGCGGATTAAACATCCACCCTAGTGACGTAGAGTCGCCGAAATTGAAATGCGGCGTACGTAAGCCTGCACAACCAGCAAACCTGCAGACTGGTCTTGTATACGAGAAATTCGTTGGGGTAGGCCTGTCTGCGGTTGCCAGGGGTAACGCGCAACCTATGTACAGCGAAAACCAGACACGTAACATTACACCGGCAACGTATGCAGGTACTTATGCCGATTACAGGGAGATAGAATGACAGCAGCCACAAACCCCTGTTACAATGTCTACCGCGGACTCCCCCATAAAGAATACCATACGGTTAATAAAAATATTTTTCAAAATAAATAATCGTGCCTCGAAATTCGTTAAACTCCACAAAATATTTCTCATCACCCATGAACTTGATATCAACGTCAAGTAGGAAATTCAAAGAGGACATCAGTGACAGCGTGACACTAATTAAGATTAGTCATGGAGATCGTAAAGGCGTGAACATTGTTAGAGGATATCGCGTCGATTAAGCACCTCGTGATACGTCCGAGTCAATTATCGCGGGTGAGATAAGCTGGCACGGGATCAGATATGATTAGACGCCGTGTGATTAATTGCAATAATTATGCGGGCACGCAATGTCCCAAACCCACTCGACCATGGTTTAAGTACACCGCCTGACCCATGGGAGTGATCAAGAACTCTTTGCTAACCCTTTACCCGCGGTATCTATGGTGACAGTATATATACACAGGATCCCTTAGGTTTATCTAATCACTTAATAAAGTACAAGGTATACGATATAGCGCCTTGCATAATAAGTAACGTTCCTAACGATAACCGTCTACATTTTTTTTACCTATTCCCAGGAATTCAACCGGCATTTCCTTTCTCAAGGAGAAAAACCACTTCGTGCAGAATAACGAGCGCTCCCTGGGGATAGTGTACTTTTTTTTTTTTTTTTAAATAATTTTCTAGACATTTTTTTTTCACCGGTCGGACGAGACTGACTTTTTTTTATTGTTATCGCAAAGTTACGTAACGTAACTAGGAAACTCAGTAGACGAACGTAGAACGTTACGTGGGGATTTCCTGGGTTAAGGATAAGGCATTAAGGCCCCCTGGAACAACTGGTACATAATTAACGGCAGCGAGTAAGACGCAGGACAAGAAATCGTCGGCGAATACTCTGACCGATGCACTCGGGATTTCGCGTGCAAGTGCATCGGAGTGCAGCGCTCTCGAAATTTACGGGGATTAACGTGTACCGCAAGAACAACAGGACACCGTAACGCGGTGATTAGTATCGGCGTTTAATACCATGCGAAAATGCAGTTGCACCTAGTTGTGTTAATATTGCTTTTATACCGGGTTGCTTTACATTTGAATTACCGCACCTGTCTGTCTGCCTCCTCTGTACCTACAATGGGGTTGATGCACTTGTGTGTATTTACTGTTTACCGGTTTTGCGTACTGCGACACGGGATATAATTAATTAGCTGGTACATGATCCTTTGACTGTGTACCTTTTTTTTTCTTCCTTTTTTACCTATATCCTCCGTTTTGCTTTATGTTACAGTGGCAAGCATCGAGGGTTCGGTCTTCAACATTACCAGGGTTAATCGACTGCACATGGGGGCCTACCTTTGCATTGCGTCTAATGGCGTTCCGCCTACAGTTAGCAAACGAATTACACTTATAGTACACTGTACGTATAATTACTCTCTAGGCTAGTCTGCGCTTTGCTAGGATCTCGGAACTTTTCCGTACGACTGTATAAGGGACGCTAACGGTGTATCCGGCAATATCCATCTGAACGTGAATTCTTCATGAGATCAGGAGGAAGTCTGTGAAAAACGTATAAGTAGATACGGGGTTTATGCTGGTTTTTGAAATAGAGGAGGATACATGTTCAGTGATATGAGAGTTGAATAGTTTTTATTTATCGTGTGGTATTCAAATTTTTTAAATCTTACTCTTTTCTTTTTTACACAGTTCCACCGATGATATGGATACAGAATCAATTAGTGGGAGCTCGAGAGGGACAGGAAATGACGCTCGAGTGCAACTCTGAAGCATATCCAAAGTCAATTAATTATTGGACACGCGACAAGGATGAAATCATAGCAAATGGTGGGTACAGACAAATATAAAAATTATATAATTAACCCTTTAACTCATGCGATGTTTAGGTCCAGCAGATAGTCGCCTGGTTATCTGAAGCACTAATGTCTAAAGTTTACTGCACAGTGCTTACCCGCTCGTACACATGTGTACGCTTAAGACACATAGGGTGGATGTGCGCTAATATCTTGGATAATTAGAATACGAGATTATGCAGTAGGCTCGCACTATAACGTATACTAGATCTATTATAATGATTTGCGAGCCTAAACTACATTGCAGGTTGCAGTTATGCAGGAACGCATCTGCCGTGCAGTGCAGTAGCGAGCGTAACGGTAAAACCCCCATTTTCATATATCACATCGATTCGATCGAACAGTCGCAAACGTGCGTTGTTACTTGTTTAAAGCAAATATCATTTTCACATCACGTCAAATTCCACGTAACGTTGAACAAGTATTAATCGCACATTGCCCTGGGTGATTACGATATTCTAGTTATATGTATACCGAAAACTGTACTCTTGAAATCAGTATTCGGCCGATACACGCTGTAACGTGATTCGTCATATAGATCGAGATACGCCATGCGTGTAATACCGGATATTGAGAATACATGCATGTAAATGCGTCAGAAGGGGATGATCAGTGTCGAACTTTTTCGTTCCCAAATAAAATATCTCGTTGCCAGAGACTCCAACCTTTTTTTTTTATATTTTTCTTCGCTACACTGTCGAAAACATCCATTATCCGGCGACTGTACTTTGAGTCTGCCAATTGAGAGCGAATGTGATTATTTATAAAAAAAGGGTAACATTACGTCCGAATCTCGTTAACACGTTCGGCGGTTTTCGAATTGACTTTGTTGACCTTTCTGTTCACGCCACGCGACACTTCGAAACTGATGGGAACGCGAAGCCTACTATCAGCCGCCAATGGCCGAAACAGCGCTTAACGCCTTAATGACACATTGGTACATATATATGTTTATCTATCAACCCCTAGAAACTTGATTGTTTATACAGGTAAACGGGGTCTTTCAACGTGATCGTCATTACTCATCAACGGTCCAGAAAAACATTCTTAAAGTTCAGCCTACAATGTTGGGAGAAACGAAGCATCGCTACGACGTGCCATTCATGCAGAACCTAATAAAGCGACCGAGATACTCAGACTGCTCATTGTAAAGTTGCATAATAGAGCGTAAAAGAGAGAGAGACAGAGAGAGAGAGAGAGAGAGAGAGAGAGAGGGAAAGACAAAGGAGAAGAGAAAAAGCGTTGATGGAGAGTTTGCGGGACCGGGGTGGAGAAGGGTGGGATGAAGGAAAAAAAAAAAGAAATGTCAGCTCCTGAAAAATCTCACGGTGCACACGTACTCGGGTTTATTATCGTCCCGTAATAATTACACTGATGACGTCAAAGGTTATTAAAAACTACGGAAGTAATTATGGCCACCCCTCTTGCCCCCCCCCCCCCCC